CCCCGCCATGACCATTGTCATGGGACCCCCATTTCTTTTCTCTCTCTGTGGCTGAAGGAGAGGATTGGGTGGGCCAGGCATGCTGGAGGTGGTGGGTCTGGGTTCCAGCCTTTGGGGGTGGGGGGGTGGGGCAGCCTCCTGAATCTGCCTGGGCCTCAGTTTCCTTCTTTGAATAGGCGACATTCATTCACTCTTCAACAAACGCGTGCGGAGCACCTGCTGTGTGCCTGGAGACACTGTTCAGTATGTTGGGCACACAGCAGAGGCCAAGCTGGGAGGGCTGGAAATCCACAGCTTCCTTGCTGGCCTGGTTTAAGAATTCCCCAGATCCAGGCATAGGCAGGAGCCTGCACGTAGTAGGTAGGCAATGAGTAAGCACAGGGGCTCTGGAGCTGGGCTGCTTGGTTTAAATCCTGACCTCTTTACTTTCCACCTGTATGACCTGGGGCAAGTCACTTTACCTCTCTGTGCTTTCGTTTCTCATCTGTAAATGGGTAGTCAAAGTCATCCCTTCCGACCGCGACACGAAAGGGGCGGCGCCACTGTCCCGCCTCTGCATGGCACAGTGCCTGGCACATAGTATGTGCTCAATAAGTGCTTATAGAGTAAATGCCTCTTCTGTCTCTTACACGTTATGAGTTTACACATCACAGTCTGGCCACAGTTTACCTTCTACGTCTCCTTGTAACATGTGTTAATAAGGAGTGAATTGTGCCCCGACTGTGAGCCAGTCCTGATGGAAGCAGGTAAGACTTTTTGTGGGGGGCAGCTGGCTGGTACAGGGATGCAAAACTGTGCAAAGCTGTGACCTTAGTGTTATAAGGCTGTGCTCTAACCAACTGAGCTAACAGGCCAGTCCGAGGTAAAACTCATTGTCTGGTTGGGGAAATAGGATTCAGAAGCAGGAAACACTTACTGAGTGCTTACTCTGTGCCGGGCACTATTCTGTCTAGTCAATAAGTTTCTTTCTCTCTCTCTCTCTCTCTTTTATTTTGGTGGCTGGCAGTACAGAGATCCGAACCCTTGAGCTTGGTGTTATAACACCATAAGTATTTATTAAGCACTGACTGTATGCCAGGCACTGGAGATACAGCCGTGAACAAGGCAGACCAATCAATAGCCCTGCCCTTGTGGGGCTCATTCCAGTAGGAAGTGACGGGTATTTAACAATACAAATAAGGAAAATCTACAGTGTCAGGTGGTGAGAAGTCAAAAGGAGAAAAATAAGGCAGGGAGTATGTGGCAGTGGCTGCATTTTAAAGAGGGTGGCCAAGGTCGACCTTGCTGGGGAGGTGATATTTGAGCTGAGACCTGAAGGAGGCCAGGGAGACACCTGTTTGGGTATCTGGGGAAGGGTGTTCCAGGCAGAGGGCACAGCCTGTGCAAAGGCCCTGAAGCAGGACTGTTCCAGGGTGGCTAGAACGGAGAGGGAAGAGGTGACAGAGCCCACAGTGATTTGGTCAAATGAATCCTGCCTTAAACAACTCTTGATTTCTCTCTCCTGACCCCACACCAGCTCCTCGCAGTCCTCTCCATCGCGGGCACTCAGGCCAAAACCCCAGGTGTCCCCCTGGCCTCCTTCTGCTCCCCTCCCATTGGACAATCAGCAAATCCTATTAAGCCTGTCTCCAAATTGTCTCTAAATCCAGCCACTTCCCTCCTTCGTTGTGACCATCAGTCCCAACATCTCCCACTGAGCCAGTGCAGCTGCCTCTGCCCTGGTCCCCCAACTCCCACCCTAAGCCCCACAGTCTGTCCTCCCTGCAGCAGCCAGGACAGGACAGCAGCCCTGTCCCTCCTTTGCCCATAGCCCTCCATGGCTCCCACCTTCATTGGGGGGAAACACCCAAGTCCTTACCGAGGTCCACAAGGTCCTGAATGAC